CCTGAAGGATTCCCAGGTATTTGTAGTGATCTTCTGCATCCAGATTCTTGATGTTATTTCCATAGGGCATCTTGATTCCTTCAGTTTTCACTATTTTTCCCCATTGATGGTAAGGGTGGCACATTTGTCCAGTCCAAACTCCAATGCAATGTCTTGGCTGTATATTCAGAAAGTGTTGAGCAGCAATTCTATTTCAGATGGTGTTTTTCCATACAGCTGCAGATTGTCCATATAAAGGAGGTGGGATAGCCTGGCAGATATTTTTGATGTTTGATAGCCATGGCCTGACTTGTTCAATATTGTTAACAGAGGAATCAATGCAATGACTGATGAACAGTAGTGGTGATAGTAAGTCTCCTTGAAAGTTCCTCTCTTGTTATTAACCTCTCCTAGTCTATCACCACTGACCAGCAACTGTGTCTTCCATTGTGCCATTGATCTTTGCACAAAGCTTCTGATGTTTTTACTGACTCCTGTTACTTCTAGGCACTTGATTATCCAATCATGTGGCAGGGAGTCGAATGCCTTCTTGTAATCAGTCCAAGCTACATTCAAATTGGTCTTCCTTCTCTTGCAGTTTTCCAAAACATCTTGTCAATTAGGAACTGATCTTTTGTTCCTCTGTTTGAGTGGTTTCCTTTCTGCTCAGATGGAAAGAGATTGTTTTCAACTAGATGCTGTTGGACTGCATCAGCTACCACGCCAGTTAGCAATTTCAGAGTTGTTGGTAAACAGGTAATTGGCCTGTAGTTGCCCGGTACTGCCCCTTTTGTTGGATCTTTCATTATCAAGTAGGTTTTGCCAGATGTTAGCCAATCTCCAATTTCACCTCCTTGCAGTATGTTGTTAAACTGCTTGTCAGTGAGTGGGTACAGATCAATCAGATGTTTCAACCAAAAACCATGCAGTTCATCTTCACCTGGTGCTAACCAGTTCTTGAACTTCCTTGCCCTTTTCTCTACCATTTCTGCTGTTATTACAAGTTCTTTCATTTCAGCTTCTTTTTCATTCTTATCCACCTTCTTTATCCAAGCTGCATTCTTGTTGTATTTCTTTGGGTTGTCCTGTAGCTGCGCCCAGAACTGCACTGTTTCTTCTTTGTCAGATGTTGAGTGGTTCATTGCAGTCTCTGCATTGATGGATTGGTAGAAACGTTTCTAATTCAACTGAAATTGGAGATTCTGCCTATAGTGTGCAATTTGAGCTTCGTATCTGCTGC